CATAACGTGAGAGTGTGATAATTAAAATAATAATGGATGCACATGTACTATAAGATCAGATAAAATCAAGCTAATTGGAAATTAATCGCAATATAGTAAGGCTAAATTTGCCTTTTATTTATTCATTTTTAAAGAATAGCTTCGAGTCTTCTTCACGTCCATATCGAATGTGTCATGTTTTTTGTTTGTATTACAATCTAAGTTCTAGAATTTCTATTATTGGTAATATTACTCAATATCGAATGTGTCATTTTCCTAATAGAAGTTTCTAATCGTCGCATGTTTTTGCTTGTATTACAATCTAAGTTCCAGAATTTCTATTATTGGTAAAGTTACTCCATATCGAATGTGTCATTTTCCCAATAGAAGTTTCTAGTCTTCGCATGGTTTGTCTTGTATTACAATCTAAGTTCTAGAAATTCTAGTACTGTGTATTGGATTGTTAGTGTTACGAATTGATGATCTTGATCGAGACTTCTAAATGTAAAAAAAAAAGTCCACAGCATTGCCGAAAAAATTTGGCAGTACTCGCATAGCTTAATAAATAATAAATGATACAATGCAAATGTAATATTATTGTAACTTAGTACGCAATGGTTAAGGAATTCAATTATCGCTGTTTGCCGATTGCGTGATTGTAAAGTGCGTTTTTTGGCCAAACATTCAATATAAATATACTATTTTCATAAAATTTGTCGGCCATCTATGCTCACTAAAAATCATTGCATAATTGCAGGTGAAATGATTGTATAGCTGTGAAATTTGATCAAAGATACATCATTTTGCAAACAGCGATAAAAATTAATTCGAATATGATTTTTGTGCATGAATCATTATGACATTATTGAAATGCAACGTTATACAGAATTGCCAGTACGTACTTTAGGCTAACTTTAGGCAGAATTGCAAATTTATCGATCAGCTTTATTGCTTGATTAATATCAGCACTTTGTATTACTTATTAAAAATAATGTATAGATAGATAGATAAATGGTGAAGTTAATGACGGGACTAACGATGTTAAAAATAGGTGATATTTAATTGCCACATTTAATAATTTATGAAGGATCAAAATTTTTTTTAATAGATTACGGCGTGTGACAGTCGAATTTTTAGCATTTTTAGTCCGATCACTAGTGAAAAGTATCCGGCTATATACGATGGTAATATACTTCAATTATCACGTTCTTCCGGATCTGAGTCTCATAAATTTTATGAGACATTATACGAGAAATACTTGTTAGATACTAGATTTTTCAATGTAATAATATAGGAAATAAGAAAATCATTTCTATACTAAAATTAAATATGCAAATCAATTACTTTATAAATGATGTGCGTAAATGCTGAAACATTTTTTGCATCTGAACTATGCTTAATCTACTTTGTAAAATGAGCGCTTTAAAATTGTATTTCTCTTTAACAAAAATAAAACAAAATAAATGTCTTTATTGATCTTTGTAGCGGTTGCTCTTATTCTGTACATAGTTTATAAATCTCAAACGCTAGGACCCCGGATGGTCTTAAAGATGTTCACACTATCTCTTCCTTTCATTTATTCAAAGCGGCTATTAAAAAACGAGGTGGAACCGATAATATGTATTTAGATTTTCAAGAATATTTTGAGAGATGGTGTTGTAAAGGTAAACTTTATTTTATATATGCTGTATAAAATTGATTCTAATATTTTGTTCTGATCAAATTATTCATTTTATTATAGTTTTTAATCAAAGGGAAATGGGTTTGTTTGATAACAGATCCAGTAATCGTAAAAAATATGTTATTACGACCGGGTAAATGATAATTCGATGCCTCTATATGTTTTTCAATTTATTAATTTTTTATAATAATTGGTTCATTAGATACCTATCCGAAATTGGATCTTAAAGAATATTCACCTGTATATTCACGACATTTCGGTGCCAATGTTATTCATCAAATGGTGATGTAAGTACAAATATATTTATATATTTTTATAAAATTTATTTAATATTTCCAATATCTAATTTTTTCATCTTTTTAGATTTGGAAGAGATATAGGCATGTAATTGATCTGTATTAAAAATTCGGGTTATTTTCTAGAAATTTCTAATCACTGTGGCTTTATTTAGACGTGTATGTAATCCTGCATTCAAGACCTTACCCATACACCTTTTTGCTGAAACTGGAATAAAGTTAATTAATATTTTAGAGCGTATTGATAATAAGCCTATTGAAGTTATAGATCTAATGCAAAGGTAATAAAGATTAATCAAATCATTCTTTTTTTTTATACTGTATGATTATTGTATTCATCAAAATATTTTAACAATTTTACAGGTTTACTTTAGACGCTCTTGGAAAAACTGTTTTCGATTTGATTTTAATGTAAATGATTTTTTTATCATTATTGTATTTAATTATATATTTTTGTTCATTCTACAATTTTATTTAATTAGAATCTTGAAGATTCAAACAATATTTACGTAACGACTTATAATGATGTTTACAAGGAAATAATTCATAATTCATTTGCTAATATTTTCCCATTGGAACGTATACCTTATTGGTTAAATCGAGCTTTTAAAAAATTGATAAATTGGATAATTTATTTGATGAAATTATTAAAAATAAACGTAAATTTATTGATGCTGGAAAATCTAATGGGGACCTTTTGGAACTTATAATAAAAGCTTGTGAAGATCCAAATAATCCAACTTTAACTGATGTCGAATTAAGAGTATGTTAAATTTTATTATTATTATTAGTATTATTATTTTTATTGATTAATTATCGTTACTATAAACTTTGCAGAAACCTCTGATTTTGCGAAATATATTTATCATACAATAATTATACAATAATCATATAATAATTGTCGGGGATGATGCTGAAATTGGCTGATGCTGAATTTAGAATCCCCATTTAAATCTATAATACCTATTAAAATTCACATATACATTTTTACTAACAACACTAACCCTAAACCCTAACCTAACCCTAAAAAAAAAAAACCTAAAAAAAAAGCCTGAAAATTTTTTAAAATTTCATAATAAAATAGTTCAAAATTTTAGCATCATCCGATTTTAGCATCATTCCCGACAAAAAATATATAAAAACTTTACAATAAAACTTATAAGGCCATACAAAATTAAATAATTGTTTCTCATAACATAGAATTCTAAAAGTGACCCGCCTGCCTGGCTTTTAATTTTTAAATCGCAAAAATTTTATAAGTTTTCTCTGTCTAAAAAATATTTAAAATGTATAAAAATTTTTGTTAAAAACCACCCGGAAGTATTTATAGTAAATAACTTATAAAATTTTGTATCGAAGGTTTACAAAAGCTGACCCGGCCGGGTTATGAGAAACAATTAATTAACTTTACATGGCCTAATATATATTATTTATTTTTTTTTTCTCATGCAATAATATCAGTTAACTTTAATTTTATTTCTAGTCTTGTAACCAGCCTCTATATATCAGAGTTGGAAAAAATAAAGAATGTATACTTGAGCAAAGGATCATTGAGAGTAGTAGCCGAGTTAAATTTGACATTTTTCTGAGACATGCCTATTTCGCAAATTTCTGTATATAATATTCTATTGTATCTATAAAATGCAAGACAGAATAGACACTAAAGCTTTGGCATATGCCTAAAAGCATGAAGGCAAGTGCTTAGCAAAAGTTAGTTCTAACACATATTTATGGGCATGCAAAAAGGGTCATCAATGGGAGGCACCCTATAAAAATATGAAACAGAATTATAGATAGTACAACATTTGTCCCAATGTACCAGAAAGAACATGCCAATATATATTTGAGGATTTATTAAATAAAAAATTCTCACCCAGAAAATCTAAATTCTTGGAGAGATTACATCTAGATGGATATAATGAAGAGCTAGGCTTGGCTTTCGAATATAGTGGTAATCAACATTATCAAATCGTCCTTTTTTTTACCCACAAGGGCAGATGAATCTAGATGTACAAATTTGACATAATTGGGAAAAAAGAGCATTATGTTATAGAGAAGAAGTAATCCTTATTACAATACTCTATTGCATTATTGACTTAGAAACTTTTATAAGGAGCGCTTTATATGTATTTGGTTATCTCCCAGTATCCACCTAGGAAGTAATATATGCTCTTCTTTAATATGCATTAATTGTTCCTTTACAAAGAGATATCGAGGTTCTGACTTATCCAAGTAATATAAAACAGGTATAGGAGGATTCTTTCCAACAACAATTCTCTGGATCATATACAGACTAGGAGACCATATTGGATCTGTTATTCTATGTTATTCGAAAGGATTATTTTTCATTCTCCAGGAGCAAGCAAAAATCGAATAGTAGTACCCTTTGATTGTTGCAGTTTATTAATATCTATTGGGCGATTATATTTTATCGATGGTTTGAAATACACCTGCTCAAGTTTTGTGGCCTCACTGGGACTTATTCTAATTAACCAAGTAGTAGTATCATTCATGTTATCAACAATTCTTCTTGCAAATCGTTCACATTCTCTACAGCATTCGCCGGTAGATAAGAGAAACTCTATTGCATACTGGTTTTTAAAAACCCTTAATTTGAATGATCCAGCATAACGATCGACCATAGCCAAGCTTGTATGCCTGAAATGTGCTTTAATTCTTCAGATATTAACATTGTATTCATCTATTATCAATGTCATGCTTCCTATAAACTCACAACCTTCGTCACATTGCAATAGCCGAGCCCAGTTAAGAGGATTGTCAAAATTATCATATATACTTTTAAATGCTTTTGTGACTTCTTCACTACTTTTTGATATTAAAAAAATAAAATCTTTATATTTAGTCATGCAGTCTATAACCAATAGTACATAGTAAATATTAAGCCATTATCCAACAAACCTGTATCCGCATCTTCATTATATAGTATTTCAATTAAATCGCACTGGTGTACAGAATTCAGTTTTGTAATTTTAGAGTAACTGGGATAAGGTATATTCTTTGGTGAAGAACGAAAAATTTGATATATTGCTTGGCCATCAAGCTATTTTTTTATATCATTAAATAGAAAGTTGTAGCCAGCTTTTTTACAAGTGTCCCACAATCTCTTAACATTTTGATAGAGACTCTTGGGCTGATAATACAGCTTCTGTAAGGCAAGATGTTGGTCAAAATCACATGCTTTTTGGGAATCAATAAGAATCGTAAATTTTTGTAATGTCAAATTTCGATCTTTAACTTTTTTACTCTTAGCGATTTCTTGATTGAGTTTATAGGCTTTTTGTGGATCGATATAAATCAAAGATTTTTTCATTATACTATAGTAAAAAAACATGGAAGAATTACAGCAAAGTAATCAAGAACTCCATAAAGTAGTATCTCAATTAGCAGAATCAAATAGGAATTACGAACAATGTTTATATACCTTAGAAAGAGTTATTGAAATATGGGAAAAGAGAATACGATTTCTTGAAGAAGAGTTAAATAACACTATCAAAATTTTAAACAAGACAAAGAAGAATTAATAAAAGAAATTTCAAAATTAAAAAGAATTGTCCAACAGCTCAAAGATGAAAATAAAAAGAAAAACAAAGAAATTTTAAATAAGAATAGATTAATATCAGAATTTGATGAGTGAGAGACAAAATTAAAAACCGAATACGAGAAATATCAAAATCAGCTAGAAACATGCCTAAAGCCCAAGATTATACAACCAGATTAGTAAATGAGAATGAATGGCTTAAATGAGAAATACATACAATAAGGACCAATCAAATAAATAGGATTAACAAAATAACCCAGCAAAAAAACCGTATTACAGACCTGCTTTGTCAAAATTTTGCATTATCATTATTGAGATATCGAGATAGATTAGATCTTAGAAATACACAAGAGGCTTTACAAAATGCATAGACATAGAATTTTGGCAAAAATGAATCTGATTCTGATGAAAATTCTCTAAATTTATATCCCTTAAATTGTTTTGTAGCCAAATTTGCCTGCAACTTTTTTTAAATTTTAAATTTTTTTAATAAAATTTTAAA